CAGAAAGGCAAAAAAGAAAGAATTTTGATTTCTATGGTAAGAAAGCTGCATCCTCTTTTAGGATATGATAACAGCCAAGGTTGTGTAATGGTGAAAAAAAGAGATCTTAAAATGTGTAATTAGACGAGAAATGCTTTCAAGTACAAAACATTTCCAGCAGATTCTGGTGATATAAGCCGATTAAACCTTTGTCATTAGTTGTAATGGTGGAGACAGATGGGATGTAGAAGGACCCTGTTCTGTACCTCTGTGTCAGCTGAGAGTTCATGGGAGTTAAAGCTCATTGAAGGAAGGAAGATGTTATGGCTCCCATCGTCTCCAGGAGCTGCCTTGTTTCCAGGGGCGTGTTCAGAGGGGTGGCAACCCTAGAAATGTGTTTGCCCACTCGGTTGCCACCCCAATTATTATTATTATTTTAGGTTAAGAGGGTAATCATGTTGAACAGAATTGACAAATTTCCAGTTTTTGACTTTCTTGTTGTTGTGTAAACGTAACTGAAGTAAGAAATTATTTCTTCTTCTGGTCCTGTGTTGTAATTAGCTGTTAGCCAAGAAGCTACAGTCTGGAATTTGGCGAGAATTTGACTCATCACACTCTGGTTTTCGTTGTACAGTATGTGCCAAAGAGCTGTTTGAAAATTAAATATCAATAAAGGTTAGGCCTGTACTGTATTGGCGCCAAAATGACCAACGAAAAGGGTTCCTCACAGGGGCTTTGAATGTGTCGTCTTCTTGTCAAAACAGAATAAAATCTGCATGTTTTTCTTTCCCCATCTAATACGAGGATTACAAAAGTAACTCCAAAAACACTTCATGAATACATTTCATAAAATCATGATTTTTATTCGTCATTTTCAGCCAGAATGAATCCATAAATACTCCGTTGGAACATTTAATTTAAGTACACTGAAACCTTTGAGTCACACTTTAAGTTCGGGTACACATGTTCACCATTAGCTGGTTGTTCATTAGCATGCTGTTTAGAAGCATCAAGGCTCTTTACTAGTCATCATAAAGCACGTATCAATGACTCAGTCTGCATGATCATATACTATAACTACTAAATTATTAATCTAAGAGTTTATCCCCAATAATCTCCTAGACAGTACTTCATGGTAATCAAGAATAAAGATGTTTTGTAAAACATGCTTTGCACAGTTTGGGCATCATGACTTTTAAGTTGATGGCTTTGTAGTAATTTGGTCATAAGGTATCAATGAAGGCTTTGAATCATTTATAACCAGGGTTTAGTTTGGATTAACTTGTAATATAGTCACGCATCGCAGTAACTCCATTACAGCCTAATGTTTGCTGTAGTTTGTCTAGTTACTTTTCAAATTCAATAACGATGTTATTAAGGTTTCTTGATAGCCACTTGATAGCACATTAGCATCCTGGGAGAAAGAATATCACTCGCAGTAAACAAACACAGGCTGATGATCATTCAGGCGTTATCTTTTCCAAGGTTGGTATTTCCAAGACATCGTTTCTGTCTTGGAAATACCAACGTTACTTTTCCCTCCTCGACTAAAAACAACAAGAATATCGCGGGGAGTTAAAGTCTTTATGCAGGAAGGAAAAACTTTGGTCTGATGTTTCAAACCACTGTCAGGTCTTTTTCCTTCAGAGAACTAATGAGCTAAATACCTTCATGTTGAAAATGTTATTTGAATGCAGGAGTTGTGTCCTCTCACGTTGCCATAGCAACACTAAATAATATTAATATTAAGATGAGTACTAAAGCAAAAAAAAGTTAAGTGACTTTGTTGGATATTTTGTCCCTTTTCTAATACAGAAAACTGAGTAAATGACTCGGTTACTTTATGATAGTTGTACCTTTAACTATAGCTGATAATCTTTCAGTCACTTGCCCATCACTGCTTCTAACGAGCCTTTATGCTGTTTTTTTTGCAACAACAATTAAGCAACCTGTTAATGGTCAACATGTGTATCTCAATATTACATAATACCAAACCTTGTTCAACCAAAGATTTACATCTGCATCATTTTACTGCAAAAGAAAGAAATTATATCATAAAGGACTAAAGCTTAAATCATGTTAGTGGCACGGTCCAGCTTCCATCGTCATTCAGGATCAATCAATGTGTGCACATTCAAACATAACATAATGCATACCTACAAACCCCCCAAAAATATAAATGTTTTAGTTCAGCAAAATAAATCGACAGCATCATTAAGCATAGTGATTCAAGAAATGCTACTGCTCAGAGCCATGTCACTTATGAAGGTCTCGGTCTTGGAATAGAAAGCACCTTTACTCGGCCTTGTCTCGGTCTCGGCCTAGGCGGACTCTGGATTTGAAATTGAGACCGGTCAAGTGTTAGTGTCGTCTTGACAACACTACATGTCACTGAATATGTTTTGCAGCATCAGTAACGTTACATTTCCAGCCCTGTTTCCTCTCACAGACGTTTGAATTACATAAGTGTGAAATAACATCAGTTACCTTCACGAGGATGTTTGAGCTGCTCGCTGCCGTTTCCCTCTTTATTTTCGCAAACCAAAATACAGGGAGAAAAAAAAAATTCTCCTGGTTATGAAAAAGAAATAATGTCATAACTGCCAAGGACAACTCATCAATCACTGACAAAAGCATGTTCGCAAACATTTCAGTTTGATCAAAGAAAGTGAACATCCCGAACACTTCAGAGCAGCTCAACCGGACGCGTCAGCAGATCATTACTTCAGAGGGAAATAATGAGTCAAATGAGCTCGTAAGGAAAAGCCTCGGCGAGCTTTTAAGTTGATTTTTAACAACGCAGCCACACACTGCACCAGTGGCGCACACACACTCTGCAGAGAGGCTGACAGTAACGCAGCTGTGGAGACATGAAGGGGGGGAGAGAGCCGTCACATAGAGCAACAATTAAAGAGTTTATTAATTCATCAGGTGTCCCGGGCCGCACTGTGGATGCTGTTTATGCTCACAAGCTGTGACAGGTGTTTGTCTACCGTCAGTTCTGTTTCTCAGAAGCCCATTAAACTTTATTAAGGTCCACAAAATTAACAAATCCACCACTGCAGGGTGTGGTACACTTACACAGGTTTAAATTACATTCATTTTCTGCTCGTCTTCAACAGCAAATACCTTCTTTGAAGAAACGTAATTCTGCCTGAATTATGTTTTTAACATAAAAATCATTTTTTAATTGATGTATCTGCGCATTGTGTTTGCTCTCTTTAACACCTCAGCTTGCACTCTGTGGCAATGAACGCATTATTTACACTTTTTATGGTTCATGTAGGCACTCAGTAATTTGTTACGGTCAGTGAAAAGATAAATGTGAATTTGTTTAAAGGCATTAGTGACTTGAGGCACCATTTACTTTTTAAAATGTTAACCCAAACCGTAAACCTTACACCTGCAAAAAAAATGGATTGTTCTGACACTTTATGGGAGCTGTAAATAATCAGTAAACAGTCATTTTTGTTAGCAAACAGTTTCCTATTTACACAATCAAGCGTATTCAAAGCAGCATTATTATTGGTGTTTGTGCACCGTTTCAATTTGAACTCCAATGTTGTGTTTTTTGTGAGTTTTTGGCCTCCGCTTATTTCTGAAGAACATCTGTCTCTTTAGCTGCCAAATGCTCCACGAGCAAGTCATGCTGCGTTAATCCAAACATTTCTGCTGAAGACATGAGTCTGTCATAGCCCAAAACAAATATTCAGATGAACTTGAGAGAGTAATCTTATAAGAGAGAAAGGTGCATAACACCCAAACAATATAAAAGTAAAATCCTCTGAATATCTGAAGGAATCTGAGGAGTCGGTTAATCATTCACTTTAGGTTGATCAGTATGAGCTACACCATCACACACTGAAAGTCAGGTTAGCAAATGTTACCATAATGTGTGTACTATAGCTTCTGTACTGTCATTGTTTGTTTCTCACAGACCTGACTCAGGGCTCTGGATTAAGGCTAAGTATCAATTATGTCCAGGGAAAAGTGGAAAATGAAAATATTACTCATGAACTTAACCCAGGCAAGAATTACGTTTCCCCTCAAAACATGTTCTGGCAAAAACAAACCTGACAAAATAAAAGACAGGATGACGGCTAAATTGACCTTTACAATCATGAAAATAATAAAATGTGAATCAGCAGTGCGCTTAAAATTAAAAGACATTAGATGAAATCTGACCTCATTTCCTGGTTGGCCTCGGATAGAATTTAATCAACCCTAGAAAAAAAAAACCTCCAGACTTGTTCTGTAAAAATAATTTGGTTGTATTTTTATTTATTAGTTGCAACTTTTTTTTTTAGTCTTTGTATGTCACTTTGTTGTCGTTTTTAACATCGTCTTAGTAGTTTCTGTCTTTTTTTTCATGGGAGTTCAGCGACTTTATGGTTGTTTTCCAACTTCAGTCAATCTTTATTTGTATAGCATCAGTCATAACATGTTATCTCAACACACTTTGCAAAAAGAGCCGGCCTAAACTTTACTCTTTGTTGATTTCATCTACAAAGACCCAACGTTAATCCATCATGAGCACTTAGAAATATTTAGCAACGTTACAGTGGCAAGACAAAACTTCCTTTAAGAGGCAGAAACCTCGAGCAGGACCAGACTCATGATGAACCGCTATCTGCCGAACTTTGTTCTTGTTTTGCAAATATGTGGTTGTTTTCTCTTAGGCCATATAGGTGGTCGCCTATCCTAATCTCGCCTAGGGCACCAAAATGGCTGGTCGTTTTGCATTTCTTTAAATTCTATTTTTCGATATTTCAAATCGCTTAGCGTTTTTTAAAGTTGTTTGAAGTGTCGGTGGTTGTTTTAAAACTCTGTACTTGTTTAAGAGCCATGTGTAGCTATGTCTTTGTAGATATGTTGCATCTCTTTGTAGTTGCTTTGCATGTCTTTAAAAATGTTTCATGACTTTGTTGTTTAGAGCGTCTTTGTGGTTGTTTTGGAACTTATTCAGTAACATGTTGCAGGTGGTCAAGGCTGCCCATAAGGGTGGGGGGGGGGGGCAGCTGCATGAGGGGCCCATGACCTTTAGCCAAAACATAATCCGTCCTAAATTTTGAGAAATGAAAACACAATTTATGTTTGCACCTAAATACTCACCCTTTCTTTTTAACACATAAATTACACATTTTGATTAGTCGCCTACTTCAAAATGTAACAACAAGCTTCCCTTTCTTAAGATGGTTAACCATTAAGTTTGTGATATAAACGTCATGGGCAGGACAACTGAACTTCAAGGTTAGACCAGTAATGTCGGACTTTGTATACCCACACCAGGACCTGCATACAAAAAAAATAAGGACGGCAAAAAATAAAGGAGGCTAGGGCCATTAACCCCCAAGGCAACAATAACTTATTAATAAACGTTTTATTCAGCTCCAAAAGCTGATCGGATCCAGGCCGAGGATGCGAATGTTAGCCAGGAGGCTAGCTCAGCCGCTACTGATCCAATACACATGCACTGATATGAATTAATGGCGTCTGCAGAGGGCCCATTCACTCTGCCTTTCAGGGGCCTAGCTGGTCTCTTGGCGGGCCTGAGGTGGTCGAAGGACTTTTTTTTTTTTTTTCAAAGTAACATTTCACAGGTGGTCAAAGGGTCAGAGAGCCCCTATGACTGGAAGGCCTTTACATGAATCCATTTATGCCTCTGATCATTAAACACGATTTGTCATTGGTGTAAGTCGCCCTTTTAATCGAATGAAAAATATTTGTTCCATCAAGCAGCTCACGTTGACATTGTCTGGACTATCAGTGACCTAAACCACTATAATCCATCTTTGTTCACCTGAAACAATAAAACATCCTTAGTACAGTATGTAGCATTGAAAATACTTAAGTGATGACAAGTCACACAAGTAACACAAGCATTTATAGTTTACTCCCAAAAAGCAGATGTACTTGAATGCAACAGCTGTCATGAAAATAAATCAAAACTTATTCCAACCAGCCGCGGTTTGAAAAGTACTTTTGGGATGTGTTTGGTGTTCCTCTCTGAGGCTCTTTGAGTGACAGGAACATATAGTAGCGATAGGGAACATTTCAAGTCTCTTTCATCTGGACGGGGCGCTCAGCACTTCCAGATACGTGATTTCCAAAGTCTTATCTCCCCTCCGTTCAGATACATTTTTCATCTATAATTTCTCAACCACTCAGTAAGATCCAGCGGACGCAGCAGCAATGTTTTGATTATACAGTGACAACACATCATGAAGAAGTCAGTAAGCTTACAATCTTCTTTTTTTTTTTCTTTTTTTCTCTTTTTCTTTTTTTTACAGTGGGAACACAAGAAAGCCAGAAAATGTTGAGTATTGCCATCCACCAACGAGGTTCCCCTTCTCCAGCTTCAGGTAAACTTTGTCCTCTTTTTCTAGATAAAGCAAAACTCCATTGGTGGCCGCCTCACGCGTCACGTCTTTGTCCCCCGCGAAAGCAGAGATGACGGGTTTCCCATTTAACATCAGGTTCACCTGGACAACAGAAACAACAGTTAGCAGCGGTAAAGAAGAAAGAAAAGTGGAAAAGCATGTCTTGGTGTTGTATTGTGCCTTGTTTCTAACATTTTGACTTTATCTCTTTGGTCAATAAAATCAAGTTAAAATCACGGTAAACTACAAAACAACTTGTAGTCCATCAGACACAAGAACACAAAGTTGCAGGTTTGGTGTACATTTTAAAATGAAACATGTCGTATCTGAATGGAAAAAAGTGGTCACCAAAATCCAACAGGCACTGGTTTCATCCATCAGCCAATAATTCTGATTTAGGGACTGTACATAAATGAATTGGGAAGAAGGTAAATGTAAAGAAATTAGCTTCTCTCTTCTTAAACCAGTTAAAATCTTCTTCTTTTTTTATAAAAGGGTAACAAACATTGTCGTGAATATTTGTCACCATTTTTCTATTTAATCTTTGTTTGTTTTTTGCACTCTCTTTTATATTTTGCATTTTTTTTCATTGATGCTTTTTTGTTTGTTGCTAAATATTATTTCACTATCCCTTATCCCTTTCCTTTTCCTTTTTTTAATCTTAAATCATGTTTTACTCATTTGATATAATTAAGAGAAGTTAGTGTGTCTTGTTATTAATGGATATAAACAAAAAAGTACAAAATATGAGAAGCTCAAAAACATTTCACAACAACAGATGACCAAAAATTAAAGCACAAGACCAAACACACATGTAAGAATGAGTAAAATAAACGATTTGGCCGAAATTTATAAAAGGGTTTTTGAGAAATTACCCAAAACATGTCAGTATTTCAATTACTTCACTGAAATGTGAAAATTGTTTTCACATTAGCATTTAAAAGTTTAATGTTGCCTGTAAAGTTAGCTATTTGTTAGTTAGTTACTTGTTGTTACACCCCCCCCCAACCGCCCCACCCTACAGCAATAATTTTCATACAGTCCCTTAAAAACCACTTTACCCCAGTCCAACACAGCTCAGTAAAAATGAAAAAAAAAGCAGCAATGGTACCTGTATGGTCTGGCTCTGGTACACTTTTATGACGTGGAAGTTAAAGCTGTAGACTCCTTTTCTCGGGGACAAAAACACTGATTCAAACGTGAAGTAGTTTCCTATATTCACCAGAACCTGAGAGAAAAAACACACATTATGACTTTTTTTATTTTTATTTAACCAGAACTTCAAAGACCTGCAATTCAATGCAGCTTAAATATATGAATATTAAACGAGCAGTACACACAGGAATCAGTGTTGTGGCTACCAGAGTCTCCTCAGCTCAGACACAAACCAAGTGTGACACACTTCAACAAATATTCAATTCAACCTGCTTCTCCATGGACCTCACCCAGCATTTAACCCTACTGCTCAACAAAGAAACCAAAATGGTACTTGAAGACATTTTGAACCTTTCTTCTTCTGCATCCTCTGAGCAACACGTGTAGATCAACCTCACACATACATATTAGGGCACTGATGAATAAATAAGTTTTTCCCTTTTTTTGCATGCTTAAAAAGATCCACCCTGAATGTGTCAGCCTGCATAGCACTCAACGCTGTCTCATGAGTGTCACTAAAAGGTTTTAAAGCACCTTATAGTCGTATTAGACATACAGTATTCATTTATAGTGCTGCAGAAAATGAACTTCTGTGGGAAATGATTGATGGAGGAGGCTGATGCTCCTCTCAGCAGCACCTGCACAGTCTCACACTTGTATCCCCACCTGTTATTAAGAGACACCTCTGCAAGGATCAAACAGGACCTTTGACAAATGTTGCTTTCATAGCAACAGCGTGCACATGATCCACACCAATCAGATCACTTTGCAGAGTGTTGTGGCTGCAAAAGATCACGTTATGTAATTTAAATGAGAGGGCAGCGGATTTGGGTTTTTTTTTTTTGTTGTTACAAACACCTTGCGCTGCCCACTGCTGTATGACTAATCGCATTCTGCTTGTTTGTGTGTTTGTGATTTGTTTGGGTGCACTGATGCAAGGTGAGGGTGTGTGTATATGTGGCGCGTGTTCGAGCGCGTGCGCACGCAGTGGTGGGGTAGCTCGAGGCGATCTGATGAATGCGTGTGCATGCAGGTTCTGCAGGGCGCCCGCTCCAAAACATAATCCAGTCACTTCTTAACCCGCCTGCGTGTGATATGTGCACTTTTACAGAAGCTACATGCCAACTGCTACTAAACTCTGGGAAGAGCTACACTTAATGACACTTTATTCTGCAGAACAGATCAAAACTGAGCTACTGATTGGAGATTAAGAGAAAAGGCGAATGCCAACATTTGATTTAAAGGTGTAAAGGTCAGGATCAAGCAGGAGAGATTGGATGCAAAGTGTGATCAAAAGCAGATTAAACACTTTTTGACGTTTCAAGTATTCACAAAATCGTCTTAACCTGATCGAAGTAGATTATTCTCGTTTTGTTGCTCATCTCCGACGGCTCGTGGTTGTTGCTCCGGACTGCAGAGAAAGCCACCTTGGAGTTGGCGGCGCGCACCGAGATGCCGAGCGGAGAGGACGAAGCCTTCCAGTCCGTGGCCGGGTTGGAGTCGCACACCACGAGGCACTTCCCCTCCAGGACGATCGGCTCCGTGTCATTCTGAGCTCTCGCCACCTCAAAGATCACAGCCCAGCTGAGCACCAGTATGAAGGAGTTCACCATGGCTCTCTTTTCACTCTCGCTCTCTGTGACAGCTGTGGCAGCGCAGATCCGAAAAGAGAGACCCGACTCCTGCACCACACAAGTTTCCGAGTCCCTCCGCTGGTCTCTCCCCCCGCCGCAGATGCTGTCTGACGCTGTGAAAATATCTTAATGCATCCAAATATGAGCCATATCCGAGTGTGGGGGAAAAAAATCAGAATCCGATTTAAGTTTAATCTTATTTCCTCTGCAAAGGAACACAGAGATCACCGATTGCGTCTCATTTCCAGGTCGACTTAAACAAAAGCGAGACAAAAGTAGAAAATGTTGAGTGATTTAGAAAAGGCTGCTCCAGTCTGAAAGGCGAATCAGTCGATAAATCGTCCATAGCCCTCACTCCCACTCCGAGTAACGCGTCTGACAGCGGCTGTTCCCCGCAGTGATGTTGCTGCGTATGTGCGCGCAAAGCCATCCACTTTTACGCACGCACATGTGGTGGAAGTTATAATTAACGGTCCCTGCGTGATTTGCAGAAAGCTTATATTTCTCTAATTCTCTTTAAAATAGCCTCCAACTTAAATATACATTCAGTAATTGGCTTGATAATTCTACTGGAGACATGCAGTAGATGTACAATAATTTCCCTTTTCTCGGATCTGGGAGCAAATACATAAAATAATTATTTCCAAACATATTTCTAATGGTTTTTCAGTTTGCATAACTTGAATCTAAAAGTCCAGAGCTGAAAACAAGGCTTTTGAGCAGGATTTTTTTTTTTTTTCCTGCCTGGGAAAAAAGTCCACTCTGGCTTCAGGTTTAATACAGTGACTCATACTTATCTCATTGCACAGGTGGGCTGGAAATCTTTCAGTTTTCAATTCCACAGAAGTCAATGATGGGACCTTAAGTCTTTTTATGGTTGTCTTGGTGACAACATCTCTCTCTCTTAAGTTCACCTGCTTGAGCTGTCCACTACCTGTCTCTGTGGGTGGGGGAAAAAAAAAAACCTTCTCACCTCAAGAAGACCTTCACTTTAAATTCATTTATGTCACCTTTCATTTCTCTCATGATCTGGGAAAAAATAAAAAAATCCAATGTGGAAATGAGTGTCACGTTGACTTAATGTTGGATCTCCGGGTGTAATGCATTTACCTCTCAGCATGATCTGCTGCACCTGCCTGTCAGCTGCATTAAATCAACAAGTCATTGGAAGCGTCTTGTGACAATATTGACCAAAGATCAGAGCCGTGAGCATGTCACCTCTGCCCTTGTGTCACTGCAGGCCCCAAACAAACAGCCGATCAATCAGATGTCCTTCCACTGACTTACAAAAAGCTACATGATTGGCACCCTCGTTTTTTTGTTTTTTTTCAGAATCAGCAGATATGGAGAAATAACTAGAGATGGAAATGGGAGTGTTATAAGGTAATTGGAAGGAAATGTAAGGAACATTACAAGCTCTTAAAACAGGTGCCTTCATTCACTGATAACGTCCTTTAGCGGAAAGAAAGATGCATGGACAGCTTTTTGTAGAATTGAAAAAGAAGGCAGGTGTTTAATTAGTTCCCCTCAAAGTAATTCATTTGAATACATTTCCAAGTAAGATTTCTTATCAGAGCATAGCAGGTCAGTTAAATATGCAAATGTGTCCAAATTCTCCAACAGCAGAAGTACAATTCAGCATCAGGTTTGAATGTTGCAGGTATATTTATACTTCTCTGAATCAGCTCATCAACTTCATTTAAACTCAACCCGACAAGCTAACATTAGTTTAAAATATAGGAGAACCGATTAATGAACAGCTGACCTTATTAACGATGAAAGTCCAGAATTCTGCGCCCGTGACCACATCATCATCACCCCCGTCCTTCATAACCTCCATTGGCTCCTCAACCCCTGAGCATGTCCACTTCAAACTCCTTATCATCAACCAACCAATCTTTATTTGGATAGCACGAATTCATAACAAATGTTATCTCAAGACACTTTACAAAAAACAGGTTAAAGACCTTAACTCTTTGTCATGTTACAAAGACCCAACGTTAAACCATCATAAAGATAAAGATAAGCTTTATTGATCCCCCATGGGAGGAATTTTTTTTGTCACATCAGAATATAATTATCAAAAAGAACAAGAAGTTATAAATCAAACATATGTACATCAGTTAAATAAAGGGAGAAAAAATACAATAATAGAATCAGACTAGGTATGTACACTTCCTGTCATGATTTGGTTTCTTATTTTCAGAGTTTAGGTTTTCTTGTTGTTTTAGTTCTCATTCTTGTCTGATGATGTTGTTTCCCTTGTGTGTTTTGTAGGTTAGTGTTTCATGTGTTATTTTTGTAACTTTATTAACCAGTGTTTTTTTATGTTCTAGTGTGTTTTGTTTCATTCTTGAGTTCTGTGTGTCTTCAGTGTTTCATGTATTTTATTTTGTAGTTGTCCTCAGTGTTGTGTCCATTCCTTCCTTTGTGTGTTTCCCTCCATTGTGATTGCTCTCATTGTCTTCACCTGTGTCGTTAGTCTCACCTGTGTTTGATTACCCCTGTGTCTATTTAGTCTCTGTGTTTCTTCCCTTCTGTGTCAGTTCATTGTATGTTGTATGAATGTCAGTTTTGCTCGTGCTCCTCTGCGGCTCCCTGTTTTTGATCCCTGTGTTTTTTGTTGAACTTTTGAGATTAAGTTTTGTTGCCTTTGGCCTTTTTGTTTAATTAGATATTTTTGGTTTCTGCTCTTGGGTCCACCTCCCTTGTTTTTCCAACTGTTTGTAACACTTCCACTTGTTTGATGATGAGCACGAAGCAACATTTAGCAAAGTTACAGTGGCAAGAACAAACTCTGGGGCTAAACCAGACTCATGTTGAACAGCCATCTGCCCAAACTGCGCTGGGTTTGAAAAATGGGATGATGGGAGAACACCTACAAACCCCTCCCTAAACTGGCAGGCAGTGAAAGAAAAGTATAAAAATAACCAATTTCAAGGATCAAATTCCACTCTTAAAATTTGAATACAACATATAGACATAAGGACGTGGAGAGGACAGATGTTTGTAAATGGTGCTTTAATTATCGTCATTGTGAACTGAGCTTTGGTGCCATTAAACTAGTAGAAGCCTGAATCCTGAAAAGCACATTTGGGTGTTTTGGGGGTTCATCTTCTTTTCTCATTAAAAGCTCATGCTTACGAATGCAGCCGTTTGATCTCGGAGACTGAACAACAACAGATCATTAGGTTACGCACACTGCTGAAAGTGATGAAAAGTGGAAGTATTTCAAACAGCCGAGAATCCAATGAAGCTGAACGCTGACACAAATCAAGGCCGAGAGCCAGCCAACGCGCGGTGGGGGTGAGAAATGTTTGGAAACAACAACGTATGAGCACAGGACACCAAGAACAGCGGCTCACTGACAGATTTCATGAAGTCTTCTGAGTCTGTTCAGATTTAGAGCCGGCATAATGGATCTAATCTCGATTGATATTTACACAGTTCATCTGGGTAAAAAAAAAAAAAAAATGCTGTCTATAGTATGGTCTTCTGATATCTAAAAACCAAATTAAATATTTGTTTTTTTCAGCTCTCTGTTTGTAATTATACACATCTGACTTGTTTTTGTGGTAGCACCCTGACCTGAAGAGCTGCCATTCTGACAAATGGTTCAGAGCCAAATGTTGTGCATGTCAATACGTTACCATGGCAATAGAGGCTTTTTTTTTTTTGAGAGCTCAGAGGAGAGGGCTTGTAACGTGCCAAAAAGAAAGTCCTCGGAAATCTTGCAGAGGGAACTACGTCTTCTAAACTTTTTTGAATGAGGATGACTACAAGGTGACACTGGAGATTTATTCGTCTGCAGAGAGGTTATAATAACCTAGCACATAACAAAACAAGAAGCTGAGCATTATTATCCATCTTGTGAAGGAAGTCCTGTTGATGAAAAAGTTTTCTTCGGCTTCCAAGATGTGACACAAATGGAGAGTGGAGACTTTTTAGGTGTAGGTAAGGGTTATATTAAACACTGTGCTTTTTGTGCATATTATTTCATCTTTAAAAGGTAGAATGTGCGACTTTCTGATCCAGTAGATGTCGCCCCTGAGGTCCAGCATGAAACCAAACACACCATAATTAAGCACCATTAAGCACAAGCGACGGACAAAATCGTCCTTTTGCTCGAGCTGCAGTTGCCTGTGTCCTGCATTGTTTGTGTTAGCAGGCTAGTGTTAGCACACTTTGGTTCGCTCATAGCTTCATATTGAACATAAATTGACACAGAATGACCGTGATCTTAAAACGCTTTCGTGACAAATGAGCAGTGAGTAGGCAATGTTCTCCTTCTTTTCTCTAGTCCTTGACTAAAACAGCTTTATACACAAGGCCGTCCCTTCCTGTAAACACGACAACACAGTGTGTCACTCAGTCATGAATCAGAGAGACGTTCACAGGAGGATATAAATGGATTTCTGCTGTTTCATGTGTAAACTGTCGCACATTCTTTCTTTAAATACTCTTTTAATTATTTTTCAGCTTATTGCTTTATTCCTTCAATTGTCCTTCTTTAATTCCTATATCTATTTCTACATCTATGTTTCTGTCTGCTTTCTTGTGTCTAGAGCAACGATTAAAACCGGAACTACCTGATAATGAATAAATAAAACACAAGGTGCCATTAATCACCTCTTTATGACACCTACCCGTCTGCACACTCGGGCTTCAAAAATAACGCTGCAGAAGCTGTCAATCTTCTCGCTGATGGTCTAGTTTGCTTTTATGGGTCATGTGGAGGCATCCGTATTATTTTCAGTCTGTTTCATAACCAGCTAAGAGGAGCTTTAATACCTCAGGCTGTCTTTCATCTCCTCTCAGAAGGGAATTGTGTTTGTTACTCCGCTACATTAATGATTTCTGACGGCTAGTCTGATTATTTCTCGGTATTTTTTAAGTGAAGGTGAAGATTACTCGCACGTTAGCTGGTTAGCTGAACGCTAACATGCAAGCCACATGGGACACGCTGTCCGGACTTGTTTCTATTTTTCTCCATATGCTTTTTACTCCACATGGCATTTTGTTTCTCAGGGTTGTACATCATTTCATAATTAAAGAGTTTTTATCACGTGGTGGGGGTGGATGATGGTGGTTGTGTGTGTGTGTGTGTGTGTGTGTGTGGGGGGGGGGGGGTGTTGTTCTGCTTAAATATTAAATCTATATTATCCAACTGCAATCCTGTTTACTTGGTTCCTAAAATAACAGCGAGTTCAAAGAGTTCATGCACAGCACAAATACCAACGCCTACTTAAAAGTCTGTAAACCATTCCGGGTGGAGGTTTATACCTTGATGAAGACGATGAAAACATGCAACACAGCCAGTTAGGAGCCCTTATTTCACATCATGACAAATTCTGAATGTATTTGTTCTGAATGTATGCATTCATTCACTGAATCTTTTCAGAGACTGAATATC